TTGAGCATCTAGAATTGAGATTTAGATGTGTCGCCCCCCTCGACTGGAATAGTTCGATGAAGCAACGGAGGATCCGATTCTCGTCCTTCAAGATAACCAGAGCTGTACCAAGCTGGTTGAAGGTGATCGTGTCGCTCGACGTAGGAAGCATATCGACACGTTTGGGGCCTGCAAGAGAAAGAGGTGATTAAAATGCAGTATTGCCCGGTGGAATCAATGTTGGCTGATTTGATGACCAAACCACTTCAACGGGTTCGTCTGGAGCATTTGTGATTGGCCATAGGAATCCGTCCGGATCTGACCTAGGAGGAGTGTTGAGAGAATGTAGTAGACGTTCTACCCACGAAGAATTTTTGTATCCATAATGGGATGGCTGATAATGGCTATTCAGTATGGAAATGTAAGTAATCGAATTATAAATCTAATTTAATGCTCTTGCATGTAATACTATTCTTAAAATTTTGTTCTACCATTCTAACGGAACTATCAACTATACACTTTCATCTCCTCATCAGATGAGATTCTATGAAAGCTTGACATAAAATGAGGGGCTCGTGGATTTTCCTATGTTTCGAGGGGTGAATCGATTAGCCTGGGACCGAAGAGAGTACCAGAGCTGAGCCAAAAAGTTGAGCACGTTTCTTCGGGACCTTCTAGTCTTAGAGTTACCTCTAAAAAATCTGGGAATGACTCAAAATTTGCCGATAATTTTCTGAAATTTATGGATCTTTCCTGAAGTTTCAGAATTTTTGGAGCGTAAGAAAATGCTTTGAAATAATGTTCCTACATTTTCCTAATGTTCATTTGTGGATTTTCTCTAAAGTTCCATGGACTTCTATGAAGCCCTCGATTTTTTTTTTCTGAACATCTCTGAAAATTTTAATTTAGATCTTCACACTCATTTTTTATCGCTGGAAACCAGCAATATTTTGCTGGATTTTCCGAGCTGAAAGTTCAGTAATTCAATGCCAAATTGACAGCACTTTACTGATTATCCAGCAAAACGGAAGATCAATCATTTTGCTGGAAGAGCAGCAAATCTCGATTGTTGTTTTTTTTTAAAGCTTCCTTCTCATTGTTGGCATAAATATTTGATTACATTTCCATGTAGTTGTATATAGTAATTTATTAAATGTGACTGCACTTCTTAAAACATCATGTCTTGAAGAAGCTATGATGGGTCATCCTGGGTGAGTTATTGTTGATGTTGTTGTTTCTTTATTAAGGAGACTCCTGGGTAAGTTTACGAATGAAGAAAGCTGTAAATTTCAGAGAAAAACGAAAGTTTTTCAACTTAATTTAGGTTGCTAAAACGCTGGCCAGACTGAGCAGTTATAACATGTTATAACGGTTGTCAAATAATTGCAACACAGAAACCACCATCAAGATAGCGCTATAACATGTTATAACTCTGTAGTCTGAACGTACTATAAGGTAGGCAAACGCTCGTTTATATAATTTCCATGATATTTTGTTAGTCGAACACTTCTTGAACATAAAAAATATTCATAAACCGTGAAGGAGAGAATGATAGATTTTGGCCTGATTTTGAATTTTCTACAGTTTACTGGTACGGCCAGTAAAATATTTCATATTACTGATTTTTCAGTTAAAGTTAGTTTTGCTGGACGCGATTCAGCAATTCAATTTGCTGGAACAGGATTTAAAATTTGGTGTGAGGATTTTAAAATTTGGTGTGTAGACTTCTACGAAGTTCTCATATCGATCACCATGTCTTCTGAAGTGTGGCCTGTGCATTTGAAACTTGGCTTTCAAAAGACCTCCTTCTGTCCCGCATAATTGAATAAAAATCAAAGATTTTTCACTTTCTTCTCGAGATTTTCCCAAGGGGTGGTCACTCTACACACTTATTTTACGCCAACATTTTACTCAGTGTGCCGCAGCTGTACCGGCAGTGCCAAGAAGTAATTGAACTGACTTTTGTTTGCTTGTGAATAATGCCCTGTTTTGCAACCCGGTATTTTAAGAGCTCTTGTTTTTGTTTTGTTTTTCAATGTTTACAAAAACGACACGGACTCCAGTTGTGACTACACATTGGATGTAGCCGTCTCCAAGGAAGCCTGCAACGGACGAGCTCCGTTGCTACAAGATCCTTCCATCTTCGGTGGAAGGCCGGTCCCGCGCAACAAACGTCAATCATTAGTCAACCAGCCTATCTGGGAGCCGGCAGAGGAAACGGATGTGCACCGAATTTTTCACCGCCCGAGTATCATCCGTCGCAAAACTGGAAACCAACACCGGCCGGAACACACGTCGGACTGATGAAGGACACACCGCTGACCCGAAACGGACCAGCCAACTTCATTCAACCGGCACAGCAACAGGGTGCAGTGATGATGGTCTACGGACTCGATAACAACACAGTCAACACCGACAAGCTGTTCAATCTGTTCTGCCTGTACGGATATGTTGAAGGTACCGCCATGGTTCAGATGGGAGACGCCATCGCAGTCGAACCAGTCGCATCCAGCACTTGAACAACATTGAATGAATGGAAATGCTGGTAGCAAAATTCAGATTGCATTTTCCAAGCAGAACTATGTACTTGTCAGAGTCCACCAACCCCTATACCCTGCCGGACTATTTGATCAGTTTCAAGGGCTACAGCGCCTCCAAGAACAATCGCTTCCTTTCGTTGACCCAGGCCAGCAAAAATCGCATTCTCCACTTCTTCAATACCCCACTCGTATGCCGTCCGAGGATCTGATGCCTCTTCTGCTGCTGACTGCATTCACCACCAAGGACTGCCACCCGTCGGAAGTGCGAAACCGCTGAAATCGGATTGGTCGAGATCCCGAGCGTAGCCCTGGCGGTGAACGCCATCATGAAGAGCAACCACAGCGCGATCGATGCCAAAGGCATAACATTCTCGTTCATTATGAAACTGTGCTTCTCCTTCTCCAAGACGATGAACGAATGCTTTAGTTGCTTCTGCTGTTCCTTCTGTTGATGCGACTCCTCTAAAATTCGTCAAAAAAAGACGGACCAGCAGCAGCAGCATTGGGAGCTGCATCGCTAGTTCGTGGCCGGAAACCTCGGTCAGGTCAAGATACCGCTGTCAGCTGTTCTTCGCCTGGAAGGAAATGTGGACGCGACTACCGTCACGGGTGTAACAATTTTGAGAATCCATGGCGAAACTGGGTGGAGATTCATGGTTGTGTTTTGTGTTTTTGATTATTGCGCGTTTCACACCAAATTGGACTAATAAGCGCGTTTTCACTTATTAAAAAGTGTGATAAAACTGCAAGTTTACGTCTAATCGTCTTGGTGTCTTCGATGCACTTATTCCTTATGATGCAAGCAATAAGTGCTCCGAAAACATCAAAACAATTTGACGGAAACGTGCACTTTTATCACACTTTTTTAAATTTTTGGAACAGTCCAGTTTCAGATGCCATCAGCAATGTATTGTGGAAACATCAATAACAAATTTTAACACATGCACACTGCGCAGGCGCAGAAAAAGTTCAGTGTTACCAGTAACTTTAAAGATCAAAAAACTTGTAACCATGGGTGACAAACAGTGCCAATGACTGTGCTCAGGTGTGCCTAAGCTTGGCACACTGTGCGGATTTTCCTGAAGTTCATGGAACTGCCCTTAAATCATTGGCACTAATTCATAGCTTTTCCAATAGTCTGGACTTTCTTGATGTTATTGAAACAGTCCAAAACATTTCTGAATTTCCCGTTCAAGTTTTCTAGACTGTTTTGAATTTCTCAGTATTTCACTGAAATTAATCGAATTGCCTTTAATTTTCCATAATTTTACTAAAGTTTTTAAACTTCAGAAACGCACACGGAACTTTGTCTTGAATAATAAATATTCCCTAAACTTCTCTGGACAACCCTGATGTTTTCTATGCTTCTCTCATGATTTCCTGACGCTTAAGAAGTTTTCAGATCATGCATAGAATTATCCTATGATTCCACGGAACTTTTTGTAAGTCTCTACGAATTCCCCTAACTTAATAGGATTGCTGTGGAGCTATCTGATCGTTCTCGGGACTTCGATGAATGTCATGAAACCATCTAAAACTTTCTAAATATCTATGAAAATTTATGGAATTTATTGAAGATATCGCATTTTTTTTAAATTACTGAACTTCTCTGAAGTTCTCTAATCAACTTAGTTAAATTTTCGCAAATTTTTGTTCTCCTATACGTTCATGAAATTCTCTCGGAGCTTTGCAGCAGATTCTGGAATTTCCCTGAATTTCTCGAAACTTCTGTAAGCTTTCTGCAATATCCTTGACATTTTTTGAATTGCCCTTTGGCTCTCTGATCTGTCCAGACCAGAGAACCTTCCCTGAAGCTCACAATTCTACAATATCAACAAGTTTCTTGAAGTTTTCTGGACTTCTACTAAGGTCCCGACATATTTCTGTGAAGGTTTCTATACTTCCCTGACATTTTCAGCACATCTTAAGGATTCTCGTATTTTTGTTCTTGAAGAACAACTCCTTAAACTCCTCCAAAAGTCCTGAATTTACGGGAACTGGCCTTAAGATCTCGAAAATTCATCAAAGATCTCTAGATCTAGTTTTTCTGAGGGACTTGGAACTTCGTAAAAGTCTCCACATTTTTTTCTCTAATTCTCTCCACGTCTCTGAATTTCTTTAATGGGACTTCACTGAACATCTTTAATCTTTCATAAAGCTAAATGCAAACTAGAAAAAAATAGTTCGTTTTTCTATAATTATGACGCTTCTAATATTTTCAATATCTTGCACTTGTACTTGAAATGCGAAACTTGAATATTTTGAGACCTTCGTCGTACTATATTTAAGTAAATACTAAACTTCATTGGAAATGGATTTCCCATGCTAACAGATTTTTTTCGTATGGACAATCCGTTTTTTTTCTGTTCTTCTATCATACTTTTTGTTTTAGAATCGTTTCCTTTATAGATTTTCCACATATCCAAATAAACCTCCGGCGGTCCCACCTTACTCACCTGCCACCTTTTTTTCATTCCCCAGTGACGTGCTCCCCCGGTTGAACGCGTTCATGCGAGACAACATCGGTGCCGAGTTCAGCGCCCTCCAGACGTACAAACTGCAGCGGAAGATTCTGATCCACGCGCCCGATTTGGTCATTGCGCTGAAGCTGAACGAACGCCAACTGGATCAGGTCCTAAATGTAGGTAAGCTCTATCTGGTAAAATCGTCTAGGCGCGAACTTCAGCAACTGGCCGGGGAGTTTTTCGACCGGTTAGCCCGGTACGATCCGGGGGCCATTTTCGTCAAACTGAACGGCACAAGGTGGGGAAAATAAATCGCTCTGTTCTCTTTAACTCTCGAGCTCGTAACTATTCTAGAGAAATTCCAACCTGTTTAATTGTTGTAGTAAAAAGATTTTATTTTAAAATTTCGGAGTTTGTAAAGATTAGGGATAAAAATCATGCAATTATAGTAGGTATAATTGAAAGGGAATGCGTTTTCATAAAACGCTTCCCGCTTATAGACGAATTTGTGTTTAAAGATTTAGTATAAAAATGATTAGCAAACAACTATCGGCTATATCTACAGACAAAAACAGCCCTAATTTCCGATCCCATCGTCGTCTGGCGACTCCGGTCCTACATTACTACTTACTTCAGCTAGAAGCGAGAGATTGAAAGAACAATTTTTTGTTAGTAGGAAAATTAACAAAATTGATTGAAAACTGTGATGCAACTGGAACAGAGTAATGTCTTTTAAGCTCCCTTCTAGCTTTTCCGCTTTTCACACATTAAAATACTACCCCAGAACTTTCTAATAGCCATTCTAGTTCCCATTGTTATCGAATAACTATCCGTGTAAATGCGAGATACTTTTTTTGCTTCGCTGATTGGTATATTCTCTTCCTGTAATATAAACTGCTTTGTGAAGACATCCTTGTTTTCCGCCGCTGGCGTAGGACACAATTCAACTCAGTTCACACCGTAGTCTACCGGTTGCTGGTGATGGTGATCCATCAGGTCCAGCGTGATCTCATTCCCGGCCGGCATGAAGGCGTTGATCAGCTTCTCGGTGTAGCTCGGCAGGTATACGTAGCTGGAGAAGATGAGAAGGGCAAGGATGCTAAAAATGACACCATCTAGAAGGTTTTGTGATGTAAGGAGAATTTTTTGTTATTTCCTGAATGCTTAAATTAACTCTGCAGATTTAGTTGGAAAAGGATACTGATGAATTTCTTCTCCCACGGGTCCAGCATGTAGATGCAGGTGTTCAGTTCGTACAGCAGGTACACTGAAGAGATCGATTTCTTGATGGAGGTGAACATCTTTTCTCACTTTGGCGTGACTAACTTCCACAATTGCTACCCGATGTGCGATGGGAAACTACGTCGTATGAACAGCTTATCTCACCCGTGCTGTTTACTAATCAATTCGTCACTAAAAAGCACCCCAAATGGTCAAATTGCAACGGGAGAATGAATCGGAAGTTAGAGAAATCAAGATAAGATAGTGTACCGATTTGAAAATAAGTCACGGCGCCTTGGGTGAGACGATTGCCTTTATTGATTTACCACACCAAAGATCCTCTCCCAGGGATGTTTGCTTCGATAGGATCGATAATACTCGGCACCACTTGCTTCGGAATCCACCACAATAATAAATCTGCTCGTAGTAATATTGTATCTTTCAGGATTCAATGCGTCCAGGTCTCGAATTCACTCACTAATCGATTAATAATTGTGATTATAGACTCTGGTGATTACTCATTGATAACAACACAGGCAAAAGGTACGAGAAGGAATGGAAAGGGATTCAAAGAAGCACCAACAAATTCAAAACAAAAACAACAAGGAAGTTGATTTTTTGACGTTTCTCTTTCGCGCAACAAACTGAGGCGTCTGAATGAAACGTCTGAATAAAACGTCTGATTTCAAACGTGGTCAGAATAATAGGGTTGGAAGTCAAAAGTTTGCTCCGATTTTCAGTCTTACTGAAGGTGATTTTTTTTAAAATTATAGAACCTTAGCGTAGAGTGACTCGGTGACACCCGGGCGGAAAATTTGACTGTCAACCATTTGTTTTCACTGCAAAAAGGCTACTTATAATTTATACGATGGAATTTAAACACTCTTATTACAATTATTACCAAATTCTGAAGCGAAATTACTTAAATATTCTACAAATTATGTGTACGATAAAACATTTACATTTTTGATTAAAGGGTTTTGAATTTTATCCCGCTATTCAAAGAGTTTTCATAGAGAGGGTCTAGTATACTATACTAGACCCTCTCTAAGTTTTTATATAGTTTTGCAGGCTTATGAAAATTATAAACGAAGGTTTCAAAGGCAACGACTCAGGCAGCAATTTTAAACATACCTTTTAACCTGATTAAAAAAAATCTTCATGTATTTGTTTTGTTTGTTAAATTGTGCAATTCAGTGCCAACATTTCAAAGGGGCGTAATTGCTTTTGTAAACAATGACATTAGCCGTCAATTTCTCACGAATGAAATTTTACCTCTCCAAAATTATAATGCTAGCTGGTAGAAGAAACATTCCTCTACCTGCTGGTGTCATTATTTTTCATAAGTGAGCTTTTATTCGCGAGAAATCGACGACTAAAGCCATTGTTTACAAATGCAATTACGCCCCTTTGAAATGTTGGAACTTTTTCATTACTTTTTATAATAGAATTCTAACGTGAAATGCAGTTGAATTTTAAGATAATCCATCGTAAAATAAATAGTTTCATGCTATTAATCTCCCTATCAAAATGGAAAATTTCCGCACCATATAGCAACACTCGCTGCTTTCACTGAAGCTGCACTTGAGTGCACAAGTGTTATAACACAGCTCTGTCTTGCGAAAATTATGATTTTTAAATGGGATCGAAGTAATCCGCGATGTCACACTTAAATTTTTTCGCCGAGATTCCAACAGCCGAGTAGTTCTGCAATTTATTTAGCTGAGATTCAGTAAAACAATTACCGAGACTCAGCTAACAAATAACATTTTGCTGATATATCAGCTAACAAATAGATATTTTGCAGAAATATCAGCAAAACTAAATACCGAGGTAATCGGCTGTTGGAGATTTTACCGAGCTAGATTAAGTGTGATGCCATTCCACTATCGTATAACTCAACCTATCAAGACTTCTTTTCAATTCCGATAGGTTATGGGCCCAGGACGACGAGCATAAACCAGAAGATTTTCAACTAGGGTTTTTTTTTCTTTAAAAGAAGATTTTATGAAGCGATCGTGAAATTCTTTCCATCATGGCAAATACCGGAGGCGGAGAAGCTGGAAGCGGAACAGGACTGGGATCAAGCGCAGTGGCTTTGGATTGGACAAAGCACGAAGCATGCTGAACAACGCGAATCTACCCAAAAGGTTTTGAGCCGAGGCGGTCAACACAACGGTGTATCTAATGAACCGCAGCCCCACACGAACGTATCGAAGTACAGTATAAAAATTAACGGTCCTATGTGGCTTCCCTGAGGTATACCTGATGTGGCGAAGAAGCTAGCTGATCTGCAATCTCCTATGGCAACTTTTAGTTGCCGACCGGTAAGATATGATCGAAACCAACTCAGAAGATTATCGCATACACCGAGCCTGCCGAGTTTAGCAATCGCAATAGCATGGTTCATCTTGTGGAATGCTGCGGATAGGTCTGAATAAATAACGTCCGTTTGAACCCGATCCGACATCCGATGTGAGACACAGCAGATTGGTAGTTGTAGAGCGGCCGACAGTAAACCCATGTTGATCAGCACTCAAATACTGCTTGCAATGGGACAGCAACGGTTCCATAATCACTAGCTCGAATAGCTTCGAAATGGCACTTAACGATGTAATTCCTCGATAGTTATCCACAGCTCGTTTCCTTCCTTTTTTGTGGACGGGAAACATGTGGGCAAATTTCCAGCAGCATGGAATTATGCCACTGGCGATAGATATTCGGAACAGGCGAAGAAGCGGAATTAACAAGCTAGCAATATGTCTCTTCAAAAATACAGATGGAACTCCATCAGGTCCATGATTGAAGGATGACTTGAGCAGAGTCGCGGCCTTAGAAATCATTTCTGCATTAACACCAATTGCACCCAGCGTTTGATCGTTTACTGGAACGTTCCTGGCAGCCAGGTTAATATGGTCGTCAGTTAGTGTCTCATTACTGAATACACTGGCAAACTTTTCGGAAAAAAGGTGGCATATACCCTGAACAGTACACCAACCATGCAGAAGCGTAGAAAGCTGCATGTGAAATCGATCAAGTGTGTTTTCATGGGCTACGCTGAAGATACGAAAGGCTTCCGGGTATAAGATCTGGAGAGGAAAAACATCATCATTAGTCGTGGCGTCATAGTTGTCAACGAAGAACACAGCGAAGTCGGAACCCAGAAGGATCCAGTCGATTTTGTGGAGAACGATTTTTTTTAATGTATCGATGAGGTACCAGCGAGGGTGCCAGAACGCATTCCGGTCGAGTGAGAGGTAATGAATGATGTACCGATTTCGGGAGGAGCAACCGCTCTGGTGGAACCATCTGAGAGCAGCTCATCTGACAACGAGTTTGAGGACGCCGACGATAACGACGAAATTGCGCTCCCACCACAATCAGTAAAACTAGCTAATCCAGAGCATGAGCTGAAGCGCAGTGGTCAGGAGCGCCGCTGTCCAGGCAAGTATAGTGATTTCGTTTCATATAGCATGTATACTTGCCCAAACGTTTCCCAACAGGCGAATTGGAACATAGAACACCAGCAGATAGTTGAGCAAGTCCATAAGATGAGCGATCCAACTTCGTACAGTGAGGTACTAAAGCGACCGGACCGAGATCAATGGATAGAAGTTATGCAGCAGGAGATCGAAGCCCTCGAGAACAATAACTCCTTGGTGCTTGAAGACTTACCGAAGGAACGGAGCGGTACCAGGCCCGCTTAGTTGTGCAGCCATTGGAAGTTTGATGTATTTGTCCCAGGTTACAAGACCCGACATAAGCTATGCAGTGAATACTGTAAGTCAGTACAGTAGCAATCTAGGACGCAAGCACCGGGAGGCGGTCAAACGAATTTTCCAATACCTGCGATCAATCCCTCGAAGAGGTAGAGCTGACAGCGGCTCACTCCGTTAAACTTGTGGAGGAATGGATGAGATCCAGGAAACTGGAGCTTGCCCACCACAAGACGGAGGTGGTCGTAGTCAACAATCGCATGTCGGTGCAGCATGCGACGTTGACAGTGGGCGAGTGCACAACTAGATCCGTGCGCTCTCTGAAACTCCTGGGGTTTATGCTCGATGATAAGCTCAGCTTCGGCTGTCACGTTGAGTACGCCTGCAAGAGTACGTCTACTTCTGTGGGGGCATTATACCGCATGATGTCCAACAGCTCGGCGGTTAGTGCCAGCAAGTGCAGGCTCCTCGCCGGGGTCGTAGTATCTATCCTCAGATACGGAGGCCCTGCGTGGGCTGCGGTATTGGATACCGACTGCCACAGGCGGAAACTAGAGAGCACACATAGGCAAATGTACTTGAGGGTACGCATATCGCACCATCTCGAGGGAGGCCGTCTGTGTCATAGCAGGAATGATGCCAATCGGCCTCATCATTAAAGAGGATGTGGAGTGCTATGACACGAGGAGCGTTCGAGGGGCGCGCAACAACGCGCGCGTAGTATCGATTGCGAGGTGGTAGTCGGAGTGGGAAAATTCCACAAAGGAGAGGTGGACCTACCGCTTGATACCTTCCGTATCAATCTGGGTCAATAGGTGCCATGGGGAAGTAAACTTCCACCTGACACAGTTCCTGTCAGGCCATGGCTGCTTTAGGAGTTACTTGCATAGGTTCGGACATGCAAGTACTCCCACCTGCCCCGCGTGCGCTGGTGTGGAAAAGACGGCGGAACATGTTATGTTCGCCTGTCCACGCTTCTAACCAGTAAGGAGCGATATGCTAGCGATATGCGGAGCGGACACCAGTCCGGATAACATCGTCCCTAGGATGTGTGGTGCTACCGAGAACTGGAGCGCTGTGGTGACTGCGGTCACCCACATAGTTTCAGAGCTACAACGAGTGTGGCGTGCCGAGCAGCAGTTGACTACTGCCCGACTAGAGCGTTAGAGTATGGTTAAAGGAGCGCTATAGCGCATAGGCCCCTCCCACGAAGTAATGCCTTCGGGCGGTTCCGGGGAGGTCAAAGGCCAAGGGCACAGGTAGGGTTTAGTGGGTCGGGAGTGCAATTCTCCCAACCCCACACCCTGAGTTACTTTCTCAGGTGTCTGTGAGCAGATTCCCTCCTGTATAAAAAAATACAAGCGAGGGACTGCTGGCCATCGATTACGTTACACGAAGTAGATCTAAATACGAACTGTAGGTTCTAGAGTGGGCTCAACAGAAAGAGGTAGTTATTCAGACCCCAAGGGTGCTATAATTCAAATAATGATGCCACTCACACAAAACACTACAGAAGTCTATTCATCATCCTCTATATTCGGCCAACAATGTTCCCCACCGGTTCCATCCCTTTTCGGCCGCTGATAGACCGCTGTTTTTCGCAGCACGATAGGCTAGGTTTCTGGTCTGCCTTTGAGGGCATTATAAAACCCTAAAACACAGGACTTTTATCATCCTATGAACATAAAACACCAACACCCGCCACTTCCCGCGTCATTCTCAATCCGATTTATCCTTGCGATTTCAAACCAAAACATTCAAGGTGTCAGAAATACCGGGATGCCGGGATGGGTATTTTACAAACAATCGCAGCTTGCTCTATGACCGGCACAATTGGCACACCTGCGACACACTGACAAAAAAGGTGATCCAAGATTGGTGTCCGAAGTGACCTGCCCCTTGGCGGTACCTTAAATCCGTGACGTTTTAGGGAAAAAGTATATTCTCATTATGCGCTAGCTCCAAACTTTTGGAAATATTAGTGGGCGGTGTGCTTTTAGATACAGTCAAATCTAGAAATACTCAGAGGGAGAGATGGGCGGAAAGAATGTTTTTTGACCAAATGAACTGTCAAAATCTGAGCCAATTGAACATTCCCATTAGAATTTCTTATTATTACTAGATTAATTTAGAGAGTATTACAATCGAACAGAAATTCAATCACCTTTATGTTTCGTATGCTTCTCAAATTCAACTAGTGTTTTGAATAAAAAAAATATTCTAACCACAGACGTAACACTTTGAAAAAGTTTTTCTTGAAAACATAGTATCTCAAAACATAGGTCCTCAGTAACGACATCTCTCTGGCTTCTCGCGGAAAACAAGCTTGCTCGCTAACTCGCAAACAATATTGCATAAAAGTTCTATAGAATGTATAGAAACGTCAAAGTGATCCGATGCCAGCGCTGCGGCGAGTAGTTCGCGGAACTGATAATATTCAAATCAACCGTTAAATGCGTGAAGGAAGATACACAATGAAGAGTTACGTCTGTTTGTCTGTGTTCTAACTCTATTGATTAATGGATCTTAGTTGGTTAACTAATAGCACCAAGAAATGTGCAAAATATTGCCGTGCACTCAATTATTATTTTGCTGCCGAATTGTATTTTGTTTTCTCCGCCTATCACTCCCTCTGAGTATTTCTAGTAAAATTGATCCTTTCATCTGATTCTAAGAGAAGAGGAGACAATACGGGGGCGAAAACGAACCACTTTTCTGTCAAACGCGAACCAGCTCGTGATTGGCCGATTTGAAGTGTAAGATAGAGGTAGAGATAAAAGAGTAAGAAGCCAGTTGTCTCCTCTTCCTCTTAGATCTGATCAGCAGGGTTGCTTCCACTCACTTACTATAAAAAAATGATTTTCTGAATTTCGAAATCATTAGACGTTATAATTATATTTTGTACTTGTTAGATACAAGAAGATGTTGAAAGGCAAGTATCTGACACATAAAACCTGTCAATTTCTTCCGGAGTGTTACAATAAGCGATTTTATGATTCGTGAGCGTTCACTCAGAGTGAGCGCTCGCGAGTCGTAAAATCGCTGATTGTGACTATCTGAAAGCGAATTTGACAGGTTTTATGTGTCAAACACTTTCCTTTCAACCTCTTCTTGTATCTAACAAGTACAAAATATCATTATAACATCTAATGATTTCAAAATTCAGAAAATCATTTTTTATAGCAAGTGAGTGGAAGCAAGCCTGCTGATCAGCATGTTTTTTTTCAAAGGAAGGTCAATCGACATTCAAAGAGTTTTCGTCGTATTGCATCAAGGCTATTGAGAATGGGGCTCAAATTGACAGTCTACGCAGATATCAAAGCAGCTTTTGACCGTGTAGACCATTATCTACTGCTAACTAAGATCAGTCGACTAGGGGCTTCTTCACTCTTCACTGGTTGGCTGGAGTCTTATTTGGTGAACAGGCGACTCACTGTCAAGCTTGGATCATCGCAGTCCTACATCTTCTCTAACAGTTCAGGCGTTCCCCAAGGAAGTAATCTAGGACCATTACTGTTCTAAATATTTTTCAACGATGTTTGTCTACCACCGGAGTGTTGACTTGCATATACGGACGACCTTAAGGGCTTTATTCTCGTCAAATCCATTGAGGATTTCCGGGAACTACAGACGGTAATTAAGCTATTTGAGAGCTGATGTTCTGTGAATCAACTGACAATCAGTGTACAAAAGTGTCATCTCCTAAACACGAAAGAAATCTCCAATTTACTGGATTTATGAGATTTGCGGCTGCCCGATCGAGACAGTTAGCGTGGTGAACGATCTTGGACTGTTAGACTCGCAGTCGCAGCTTTCATTCAGAGATCATTGTTCGAGCATTATTGCCAAACGTAACATGATAATCAGTATCTCATAGTTTCATAATTCCGAAAAGTAGCATTTTAGCTGTAATGAGCAATTGCAAATCTGGCTTGAGGAATTGAATTGGCTAAACCACCTCGTAGTGCGATCGATAATCATTCATAAATCGAACTTATGGAATTCATAAGTGTCTTATGAAACCAGCATTGTTCGGGGTCATAAGTCATGCCTTATGGAATTCTTAAGTTCTTTTGCCTCAGTGTAAGCTTAGGTTAAAGGCATTTTTTGCTACTGATTACCGTAAGCGTGTCAGAGGCCTGGTTTTACGCATTTTTCTAATCTAATCTAACACCAACACAGCCAGTTCTTGAAAGCATCTTGGGAAATGATGGATATACCTCCATCATCTTTCTTCTATATTTGACATCAGAGATGCGCAACACATATCAAACCGGCCAAGCCCACTGTGTGGCATTTTAGGGGGCAAGATGATGCAGAAACATCGGGCCTGTTTAAATCTAGCTTTGTGGGCAGCTCCAACCAACACTTCTCACCACGGGGTTCGTCTTTTGAAAAGGATACTGATGATGCACTTTTCCCACGGCTCGAATATGTAGGTCATGGTGTAGATCTCCCACTGCAGGTAGCACTCGTCCCACTTTCGACGCAGCATCTGCTTCAACGTTTCCGGTGGCTTCGGGCGATTCAGGGAGTAGTCTAGCATTTTTCTTTCTCCAGCACACCCGGCAACCACTAACAATTAGCACCACTAAGCTTAGAAGAGAGCAACCGCCGCGACTTTCTTTCGGGAACAGAAAATTTGCACTGACTTGGACGGTTTGTGGCTATTGACTCGTCCGATGTCGAAGATATCTTATCTAGCTTATCAGATAATCTTGGTCAGTGTCTATGTACAAAGAAAACTTCTCACGACGTTACGTGGGAATTGCTTGGAAACGGAGCGTACGCAGGTCGAGAAGGTTCGCGGTGTTTTATTTGACTTTGATGTTTTTTACTGGGTTAAAGGATTTCGAATATTCTACTGCACGCTATTTCAAAACTACCAAAATTTGGATAGAATCCACTCACATCGGCCAAAACTGAACTTACCCACAAATGAACAACATTGACATGCATCCGATCGACTTTGTTCATTGGTCAATTTGTTATTCCCAGCATAGTTTACCCATTTTTGGGTAGGTTCAGTTTTAACCAATTAGGTGCATTCTACCCAAATTTGAGTACTAGCGTAATAGCGTATGATTAATCAATGATCGGTCAAGCCTAGTATACAGATCGAAGCGAAACGAAAATTGAAGCACGCGGAAAATTATGAAATTTCGCTAGCGAAAAAGGTTGTGAAAAAATGTTTGTGGAACATTTTCCAGTTTCCTTTTTTCGCAGTTTACAGTTCATGTGAAACGAAATCGATCAGTTTACACCTCCGGTGAAGTGAAAATCTTACAGATACGCTCTTCCGAAACGTCAACTTTTCGCTTAGCTGCTGCTCTTTTCACGAGCGTTGCATGCGCGAAAAAAAAAAAAATAAACGTAAGCGAAAAAGATGCGATCCACAACATAAGATTTCACTGGATCGTATCTGTTTACAGTTAAAAGCGAAGCGAAATATTTGCCAATTGCGTTTTTCACGCAAGTGAAAAATGTAGTATTTTGTATGAGATTTTCGCTTCGCTTCGATCTCTATACAGGCTTTCACGACAAAAAGCTCGTAAACTTGATGATTTTAGTTAGTAGGCCATGCTAACCATGTGTCAGTAGCAATGTTTTCGAATTGGCTGTTCTAAATTTTTGTGGTGTTTTTAAATTAAACAAAAAAAAACGTTTGCTAAAATCTGTAAAATGGAACTTGAAACTGTAACTGGTGAAGCTATTTCTCCGGAGCTAGTCGATTCGGAAGTTTGTGGTCAACTGTCGGTTGAAACAACCGGAGAATCCCTTTCGGAAGACGTCTATCGCATTGCGATATGTCCGTTCCGTGGTCACAGTTCCAAATCGACGATCGAAGATGAATCGGAGTGGTTTCCGAAACCGGTAGATCCGTTGAAGCGATTGGCCGAGGTTGAAGACGTGCCAATTCAGCCCAAACGCAGCATTGCACAACTTTACGCAATCGAATGTCGCAAGTACGGGGTGACGGCGCTGCAACTCGTTTGCGGCATTTTAGAGGAGATTGAGCGGGAGGCGGATTCCGATGTAGATGTGGACTTGAACGTAAGATCTGCTGTAGTGTAGTGTCTTTTTGGTGTTGATAACTTTTTGCCTCGCAGCGCGTCGGTTTAAGTAACCTCCAGGTGCAAATCATCCTGGATTGCCTGGCTGTAGCCTGTCCGGATCGGTTGAACTTTCTCGGCTTGAGTCACAATCTGTTGATGGACAGTATCCTGGCGAATTGTCTAGCGAATCTTCTGCAGTTGTCCCGACGGATTGCAAGGTTGGATCTTTCGCATTGCACTCTGAGTGACTACGAAGTGCTGAAGATTTTGGCAGATGCGTTGTCTACTTCGACGGTGCGGAGCGTGAACCTGTCGCACTGTCAGCTGAGCGATACAGGTGGAGTGGATTTGTTCAACGCTTTGTCGATGTCGGACTGTATCGAAGAGGTGGATGTCAGCTGGAATCGGTTGCAGAGTGGGAGTGGAGTTGCGGCAGGGTTGTTTGTGGGGGTAAATTCAACGATTCGGGAACTGAACTTGGAAGGAAACTACCTGTATCGGGAGAAGGAGTGTATCGTTCCGTTTTTGAAGGAGTTGGCTAAGAATGAATCGCTGAGGAAGCTGAATTTGTCGTGGAATGCCCTGCGGGGTTCCCTATTTGGTTCGGCGTTGGTCAAAGCGATCGTGGCTAGTGGATTGAAAGTGCTGAATTTGGAAATGAATTGCTTGCGATCGGAGGAAGCATTGTCTTTGTTGAAGGCGTTCCGAAAATGCGAACATTTGAGGGAGATTTTGCTAGGTGGGAACTTCTTCAGTGAGGATGATCTCAAGGAATTTTTAAAGGCATTTGGACGGAATCCAAACATGAATTTACTGTCGTTGGGAAAGTATCAGTTTGTTTCGAAAGTGACCGGGCGGGTAGGTTTGAAATTGTCTTCATTCGAGCATTGATTTTCATTGTTGCATTCTAGTTATCAAAACGCTTCATGAATCGCGATCCTTCGAAGAGAATCACCTACCAGGGAGTTCTGTTGGCAAATCCACCGCGTCCGGTGGATGTTCCGGAGATGTTGCTAGATCGATGCCGCTTTTTGGGCTTCAAACCGAAAAAGAAGAAGCTAAAGCGTGACCTTGGCCACTTTATGCTGCAGTTGCAGAAGCTGGAGAACCCTCTGTTGCCACGGGATGATTTCCTGGCGATGGTCAAAAAGTTCCGCATCAAGTTGGATAAGAGTTTGACGGAATCGTTGATGGACGCATTCACGGAGCGGAAGTTGGTTGACGGTGCGGCCATGGCCGTGAAATATCTGGACAAGTATCCTACGGAACCGCCTCCGGTTAAACCGAAAAAGTCAAAGGGGAAAAAGAAGAAAAAGAAAGGAATAGCAAAACCGAAAAAGTAATGCCACAATAATAATCTCGTTCGGATCTAACAAAAGAGCGACAATTGTTATGGAATCGTACGACACTTTGGGCATTGCATTGGGGCAGTCCGGTAAGTAGCAGTTATCGCATGGTTGTATGCTTTCTATAGTACGACAACATCGCTTGTTTGTGAATGGTCATTCACAAAGCTTTATTCGGGTAGTTTCCACTCTGATTCAGAGTAGAGATCACATAGGTGGAGTTAGGACGTATGATTCTGAAATGCTTAGCTCAGGTGATGAAGGTGATAGGTGAAAATCCGCAGACAGTGTATGAGCAAGTCAAACGCGAAAACCCCAGAGTTAAAAAAATATGAATGGAAAAGTTTTAAAAATCCCTAACTTTGAAAAAGTTACAGATATTGGACTTAGAAAAATAAGAAAGATCCTAGACATAGAATTGATTATTAAAGATTCTTCTACCTCAATAATTCCAATTTTCATACGATGATGATGATGATGATGATATGGAACTACCAGTCACTGTAACAAGACAACTGTCGACTTCCATCGCTGTTCGACTTGATCAAGTTTAATAACCTCTAATTGTACTCAACCTGCCATTGTATGAAGGGCTAAAACGGTTTGGGTGAATCCATGGGCAACATAGCCCTCGTGTATCCACGGGATAAATGAAAATCTTCTTTCAACAACAGGATCATACAACCGGTCAAAAAACAGGCCATCGAACAGGAGGATGTCCCAAATGAGTGGGGAGAAGAGCCCACCCTATACTCACGAAATGTTAAAGACAGGGAGTTGGCATTTCCGCCCTACCCATCCATTTCGCTTCCATCGGGTGTCCTGGTGGAATATAGGCTATGAGAAAAATAAAGGAAAGATCTCACCCGATATGTTGCAAAGCAATCCATGACATCACGATGATTTCGAAGAGCACGGCTTCAGTTCAACAGTTCACAGTCTGGAAGACGCATGCTGCGTTTTGATCTGTCATACCGACATTCACAGGGAGGCCAGACCTACCGGTAATCCTAGCCTTACGTTCATATAAAACTCGAATTCATAAAGCAGCTTCTTAGAAACCACGATCCCCAACTACGCCTCTGTCCCGGAGGACGCTGAGAGGAAACTGGTGTGATCTGCTGATGCGTACATGATTTAATCATCCGCGGGGCAAACTATTGTGATGTGTGCTCGCTGCTTGGTCACTCTGACACGATCCAGATCGAGCAATTTTGTTTCTTCTCTCAAGCACTTGCTTCCGGCTGTCGATGGTTGGCGGTGTCAACAACAATGCCACCACGTACTAAAGGCCTCTAGGTGTACGGAACGCAACGGAAGGGAAGGGAAGCCTCGAATTAACTGCCATGCAGCAGCCTACCTACCTGCCGCGACGCCAACAACACTGGCTGCCGCGAGGCATAAACCAATTTGCTCAAATATTTATATCGTGTTGACAAGCGCTGGCATGGATTACATCTGGTCACCAAGCGGTGGGCACCATCTCATGATATGCTGCCGGTGGTGGAAAGGCGAGTGGGTGCCGGCCGGCACGTGCTGATAAAGATATTTCCGAGCTAGTTATAGTATCACGCCGAAAACCGCAAAAAGTGCGACCGCGTGCTCCCATCCCATATGGCCTCTTATCAACGACACCACCGCCGTCCAATGTTTGGACTTGGAGACTTCGAGACGGCTGTAATCAAAAAGTTGCAATTCTGAGTGTGAGTATTTATAGCTCGTTGACCCGTCCAAGTAGGCCAGGAGGAAAAATGGCGAACACGCCTGCTACGGTTAAATTCCACCTGCAGCGATGATCGGTCGAGTGTTGTGATACCGGCACTCGGGATAAAGGGGGCCTAAAAAAATATACACCCCACGATCGAGACTCTCACGCTCGCTGAATTCAATTGCGTGAGGCTGCAAATTGAAGATAACAGTTTGTCATAGATAATGGGGGCTCTGTGTCTCGTACGAAAGACTAAGGATCCTTTCATCATTAATGAACGCTGCTCTCGACCTGCCCTGGCCGGTGTTGAACGTACAGTTAAGTATACTTATAGATTGAAAAATTTGCAAACGATCAGGCGCGAGGTCTTATCGGTTCTCATGTAAATGCACACCTCTTTCAGCCCACTGACCAAGGAAGGTTCGATCGGCCGATCGCTCGCTGGGTGTGCTGGAGAACTTCCAGCCGTCTATGCATGCCATTCACTCGGTTGGTCCCGGAGATCACGCTTTTCGGTGCATGAGTCAGGCCGATCGGATCGTTGCTGAGACCTTCGCACGATAATGCAATGAAGTCTTGAATGGTTTGTCATTTTATTAATCTTAATCTGTAGAATTAATACGACTTATAGAGCTTTCGTTCTCGCGGGAGCAATAGTAGGCCGGAAAACCGGAAAGCTCCGTATACGTCAATTTGACATTATTCAGTGTCCAATCGATCCAAATTTCGCATTCCTCGCCGAGGTTGGCAAAAGGCAAACCCGCACCCAGTTATGGTGGGATCAGGTTTCCTCCGGCGGACGAGTCACGCTATCATCATCACTCCGCGCAACTGTTAATTGATATGTCTTTCACGCTTTCGCCGTTGGTCGTCGTCTCGATTGCGCTCAGGTGATAATTGTCCCAAAAATGGCCGCGACCCGTGAAAGGTTCGGGGAAAATCGTCCCGCCGTCATCCTGATTTGGCAATCGCGCACACATCAACGCGGGGACCCATATAATGAGTTAATTAAGATCGGTCATAACTGATGAGGACGCGGAGAACGTAGAGCAGGAGAAGAACAGCCAGTCTAGTTCGTCGGACAAACTGTTCCTCGCAGCAGGCGGGTGCTGATAGCCTACTAAAAAAAGCTAAAAGCAGAGCATCGCCTGCTTGGATGCAGCGCGAGTTCGTGACACTTTTTATATTGCACACCGTGGCGGCGGCGTGCGATCGAGACTCGCGCGGAATGTGTAGCATAAGTATAGCAGCCCTGAGATGGGTTTAGAGTCAGAGAAAGGAGCCAGATGTGGGAAACACTGTTGTAGTGAACAGGAAAAAAAAATACACAATTTTATGTTTTAATTGTGATATCGTCCGACAACAGCGCAGTAGCGCAATACGGCTTTTTCGCCTTATCGGAAGTCGATCTGTGAACGAACCGCCAAAGTATGGCAAACGAAGTGTAGCTCCGTAGCTTGGTTTGGTATTTTTTTTTCTTCTTCCGCCGAGCGAATAGAAAAGTTTATTGGAATAATGGGACTTAATTAGCCTATTATTTTCAGGAGACCCCGCGGATCGCGGCGAGATGTCGTTGTCATTGCGCTGGCTGGTCGGTTCCCGGTAGGGGACACAACGAAATTGAGATGTTAGCAGCTTGTACAGCGAGAGCGAGCTGTTTTCCGATGAAGGAAAAAAAAACGAGCAGATCTAGATTATCTAAGCAGGCCCCGAGATTGCTTACATAATTGTTTTTGTATGGTAAATATTGATTCCAACCTTAAATGGCAAAGCAGACTGCGATCGGGCTGCAGATTTGACCTGATTCGAACGAGATAATCGGAAGGGGTTTTACGACGCAAAGTAATATGGGAAAAATCTGAGATTAATCATTGGAATTTCATTTGAATTTCTAATGCCGATCGTTGTGATCAGTGGATGCTGTAGGTTGGTTCTCGGAGATTTAGATTTTTTTTTACTAGCTTTGAACTAAGACATTTTATGATTAATCCGACCGTGGATAGTATGCCCGATTCGTCCCAAGATAATCATGCCTAAGTAAATTACTTTATAAGCAAAACTTCGTTTCGTCATTTCGTCACAGCAATTTCAACATTCTTCCAGTGCCATGAGGTTGGACATTCCAGAAACATTGCCACCTTCCCAAACACAGCCGAGAATAATACGTTATTGCCACCAGGGATCCAGGTGTGTTTTGAAGCGGGGGTGGATTTGTTCAAATTTATTCAATTGAGTCTTTTGAAAAGTTCAGGGAAATTGAGGGAACATTCACTACCAGTGCTGGTTACTCACTGATTTGTTCCCTGTAAGAAAAGTCCATAATTGTGTGTAATTTGAGCTTTTACACTAAATTCAAAATCGGAATCAATCAGGCTAAGTGTCCTCTGCTGTCCGAAAAAGTCGACCCTTGGTCACACTTCGCCAGCCTCGTGGTCTGCGAAGGGTCCGCAGTTCGCCTTCTACTTGGTCGATCCACCTTGCCCGCTTCGCGCCTCTTCTTCTTGTTCCTGTTGGGTCGCTTTCTAGAACCATTTTCACTGGGTCGTCGTGTGGCATTTTTACGACGTGCCCAGCCCACCGTAGTCGCCCAATTTTTGCAATGTGGACGATGGATGGTTCTCCCAGCAGCTGGTGCAATTGGTGGTTCATTCGCCTCCTCCACGTTCCGTCATCCATCTGCACTCCACCGTAGATGGTACGCAACACCTTCCGTTCGAAAACACCAAGGGCGTGTTGGTCCTCCACGAGCATAGTCCAGGTCTCGTGGCCGTAGGTCTAATCAGCGTTTTGTAGACAGTCAACTTCGTGCGGCGGCGTCCAAAGTAGGCACGATTCCCTGCCATAATGCGTCTTTGAATTTCTCTGCTGGTATCATTTTCGGCGGTCACCAGTGAGCCCAGATACACGAACTCATCGACCACCTCGATTTCGTCACCGTCAATCTGAACCCGGGGTGGGAGGCTAATATTGTCTTCCCTAGAACCTCTTCGTTTCATGTATTTTGCCTTTGATGCGTTGATGGCAAGTCCAATCCGCCTAGCTTCAGCCTTCAGTCTGATGTACGTTTCCGCCGTCGTCTCAAAGTTCCGTGCCATGATGTCGATGTCATCGGCAAAGCCAAGAAGCTGGATGGGCTTCCTGGAGATCGTGCCACTCGTGTCTATTACAGCTCTTCTGATCACACCTTCAAAGGCGATGTTAAATAGCAGCCACGAAAGTCAAGGTGATGGACTTAACCCCCTTCGAGATTCAAATGGACTCGAGAGTGTCCCCGATACTCGAACAACGCACATCACTCGATCCATCGTCGAGTCCTTGACTAATCGGATCAGTTTATCCGGAAATCCGTACTCGTGCATAATCTGCCATATTTGAAATTGCCGATTTGAAACCGATGAGCAAATGATGTGTGGGAACGTTGTATTCGCGGCATTTCTGCAGGGAAAGTGCTTCAGGGAAACTACGAGAACTTTTCAGAAGTTCTAAGAATATATGATCTCTCCATGAAACCTATTGGCTATTCAAGAAGTTCCAGATCAACTTCGACCTATCTCCGGAAGAACCGGAAGAATCGATGAGCTACCTCCCCCTCTCACATAGGGATGCCTACAACGAAAAAAAAAATGGTGATGAGTTGTCGCCGAGGTTGTTCCTTGGTGGATAATGGGCCAAAATTCGTGAAAAATATAATAGTAAGTGATTAGTAATATTCGCCAGGATCGAACAAAATTTTTTAATAGTAAACAAAAGTTCTCGCATAAAAAGGTCAATCAGTAATCGTGAAAGACGATTGAATTATGCAAGGTATGAACAGAATTTTTCAGAAGGGAGGCAAATACTTGGGAAGGAATATGTTATCGTGTGATAGATCAAGATCGTGAGGAT